GCACTATACCTTGCACCGTGTGATTTGTTCATGTAATGTTGTGTGGCATGCACATTTCAGAGGACCCAACTCTCTACCTCTATGATTTCTGCACAGAACTTTGTGCCAATTCATTCAGTAGATTTAGTAGTTGGGATATTTCACTGGCTATTTAAAGTCATTAGGGTTCATCCTCAGGAGACCATGAATACCTCGCCAAATATTGAACTCGTGAACAAGGGTTGGACCTACCAAGAGTGGCGAAAAAACATGTGCAATACCAGCTAGAAGCATCCACCTCCAATCATAGCAATATCAAGTACTTTTTTGTACACGTGTTTGTCATGGTCACTATGTAAAACTTAAGAACCAGCCTCACACCCTGAATACAGAATGTTTCCGCCCTGGTTGTCAGTAGATTGTACATGTTAATTGATAACATCAGATGCTTTTCCACACTAATGGAATGGCAGCAACAGCACATTTGTAATTGGCACTCATTTGAATGCGGTGGCATTTGCCGTGGCAAGGCGTGAATGAACAGACACCAGAAGTGATCCTGGCAAGGTGCGTATAAATAGCACGCAGAGATTTGGCACGCAGGAGGGCGGCCGCATGCCTTCCACTGCCGGGACAGCTGTCCAAGTCTCTCTTCCTCAAACACTCGCCATGTTGACAGCGAATACTGGAGGGGATCACAACACACACACACTGTACACACAGAGACAGTCCTGATGTCCTCAGACACAGAGCCTTGAGGGGGATGGAGATACTGTAGCCTTTACTCATGAAATCTGGAAATCAACATGTGTCTGTTTTGACCTACAGTTAAAACTACTCTAACAAGTTCTAATTCCTATCATATGCACAATGATTGCACAGAAGCAGTTGTTAGCGATAATAGTCTGTAGTCTCTAATTCCCACCAAATATGCCAATTAAATATGTATGAATAAGAAAAAGATTATATCGTGTGAAAAAACTAAATGAAAACCTGAGCAGGTTGTTTAAAGAGCTAAAAATAATTGAGGACAGGAATGATATTAAGATCACGAGTTGTGGAAATTAGTAAAGGAACTATCATGAAATACACTAAGATGAGATAAAGATCACATAATATAAGATACAAATAAGCTTAAGGTGAGCATTTCTTTTTATCTGCAGAAGGTTAATTTGTAGTAGTTATGACAAGTGTATACAAATAAGAATTACCACAACATTTGGATAAATAAATTGCATAGTAAAGTTGCCTAAAACAGTGTTTTAAACTTATCGGTATTAAGTTAAACACAAGAAAGACTCATTCAATCTTGCATCACATGCTAAATCATTGATCCCATAACAATGGCAAACCCTTCCCATTGGTCACTGATAGCCACACTTCCTGTCTGCTACACAGCTTGCCTCCCTTTGCGACCTGAGAGTGAGAACTCCTCCGATAAAACAAAAGTCAGACTTGTTTAAAGTGTCCTTCCAGGTGCACATTACCTCAGTAAGTGTCGATCTGTGGCTCCACTTCCTGTCTCAGGTTCAGGTGAGATCCTGTCCAGAGAGAAGAAGAAGAAGACGAGTGTTTGCTGACTGTCTGACTCTCTGTTCGTCCTGTTTGGTAATGTCCAAGTGTAACCTACCGGCTCTTTGCCCCCGCAGCCTCTGCTGATTGGTCCACCATGTGTGTGAGTTACAAGCTCTTACACCTCGGACACCCCTGCCCACAGCCAACCCCCCCAACACAACCACCAACCCTTCAACACACCCACCACATAACTGCCTCTACAGACTACAGATTGATTCTGCATTTCTATTATGATGTATCTCTATAATGATAATAATAATAACAACTCTGTCCCCCCTTTAACAAAGATGACAATAAAATGAAAGCAATTCACGCTCCATGGTATAGCCCCAAAACTGGCAAACCAATGCAAACTTTATAGAACATAGAGAAAACTTAAAACTAGTGTTTCCAAAAGCTCAATGTTAAAGTAACCTTAAAATAGAAAACTCAGAAACAGCTGTGAAACCTGATATATATTTAGACTGTTTTTTCCCATCGACCTTCCACTCACCCCAATTATTCCCTCCCCCTAAGTCTCTTAGATCCCATACCAATTAGCCTGATTAAATAAGTTGTACCCTTAGTTAACACTTATTTATTAGATAAGATCAACCTGTCTTTATTATCAGTCAACCAGGATCCTTTAAAGTAGCTATAAAAACTCTTGTTAAAAAGTCTTGATCCAAAGGTTAACGACAACTATAGACCGATATGAAACCTTCCCTTTTTCTCTAAGATACTTAAAAAAGCAATTGCAATTTTTTTTGGTGATTTCTTAATAATGATAGTTAATTTGAATATTTAAGTGCATCATAGTACAAAGACGTTATAATTGCATCCGATAAAGGACTGTTAGATCTTAGTGCTGTTAGTTGTGGAGTCCCGCAGGGTTCTGTACTTGGACCTATTCATTCAGGTGATACTTCTTCTAGGCAATATTATTAGGAAACACTCAATTAACGTAGTTATGCAGGTGATACCCTGTTATATAAATTGATCAAATCAAATAAAACGTGTCAAATTTAAAGCATACCTCACGCTTACTTTTGTAAAATATGTTTTGTTAATCGACCAAACAACATTACATTTTAAATGCATGATATCTATACTCAAAATGTGGTATTTAGGTAATCCTTTTGTTCACCCCCAAAAAACTACTCAACATTATTACAACTATATGAAAAAGGTACATAAAGTTGTTCAATGTCAGCAGGCGTATTAAAATACAGTATATTACGATTAGCCTAACATTTTGCTTAAGCCTTTCTAAAATAACACTCAATATACTTGAAGTTGTAAAAAGGACACATTTCGTATGCACTTTATATTTCAACCAAACTGTGATACATAAAATGTACACACAAAAATGTGAAGTTTATTAACAAAAATAACAATGTAATGTTTGCTACATCTGCTGTTAGCAAAAGTTAATATAGCATCCTCTAGTGGCTGACACATTTGCTGTCCCACATTGAGATGGCAAGAATCTATACATTCCTGTGGGAATTCACAAAATACCAGAGGAGTGTTTGTGTGTGTGTGTGTGTGTGTGTGTTTTGGGTGGAGGGTCCCTCTCCCCGGCAACATCTGAATGGGATCAGGGACTGACCAATAGTGAGGCTGAGAAGAAAGTTTGCTCACACGTCAAAGGATTTTTGTCACTTTGGGCCTCTCTGCTGTTGGTAGGTCAAATCTGCTATACATAGAACTGAAAAGCTTCACAGAGGTTATATTGGGCGAAGAGAAAGGGATTATTCAATAAACAGTAGTTGGATTATTAAATGCTGAGGTAGTTTTTTGAATGAACTGAAGCCCAAATTACTCCTGTTGACTCACTGTTTAGTGGAAAAGTTTGACATTTTGGAAGTATGAGTTAGATTAGAAGATCAATGCCACTCGTATTTATTTGTTAAATATAACGCTGTAAAGCCAACAGTTGGTTAGCTTAGCTTAAATGTAACTTAACAAGGGGAAGGGAATAGCCCTCCTTAAAACGTGCAACTTCCAGTAAAATTCATATATTTATTCTTTATATTGCTTTTTATACAATATGACATGTCTGGTAGGGGGATTTTGTTACCATTGGGGGAGCCACTTCACTCAATCCCCCCTCCTCTGTGATGGTATATCAGGAGGTGGAGGAAGAGGGACACATTCATAAATCAACCACAATTTCAAATGTAGAATGATTAAAGGGACAATCGAACTTTTTTTTATAAAATGTTAAAACTCAAACATTATTATCACGCTCTTTACAGTGAACTTTTTCACGGTATGTTTATGTTATTGAATGTTTTTCATATATTTATTGTGATTTTTTTCTAAATATGGTTATCGTTTGACATGCACCTATAGATAAGTGCTTCTCAGTGAAAATCCAACCTGGCACTGAACATTATTCTGATCATTTGTTTTAGAATTAGTGTGTTTACTTTTGACTTGGCATAAGTACTAGTTAAAGGGGGAACACCTAGGTTAACTCATGTTAAAAGGAAGCCTCAAATACTTATCAAAATATGTATCTGCAGTTATTCATACAATTGCTGGGCAGGTTACTTTTTTTTGCAACCTGCAAAAAAGTACCTTCCTTTCAACACTGTGCATAGTAATACTAAACAATTACAACTAGCAGGTTACTCATTTATTCACACATATTTAACATTATCAATAATGTAAAAAGTAAGTTTAAGTTTTTTTTAACTAAACAACATTCTGTACACATCAAATAAACCAAAGAGAACTTCCTGTAATGAAAAACCCTAACATTAATCATTAGCATTTAAATGATGAATATTTTTTTAAAGAGGGCTGCATGGAAAAGTCTGCCCTGCAGGACTTCCTTCCCTTTTTAAAAAAGTATTTTATATTATTTAAGTTCCTTTAAAGTGAACCCAGCCACTCCTCCACTATATCTCGACTCTACAAAGACATCAGTGTGTGTTGGAGTGTTAATAAGTAACCGTCCTGTAGATCTTTAACAATGGGGCCTCACAGTATCTGACCTCATTTAGAGCTCCAGCAGAATGTGTTGCTCATTGTTTTCCACTCACACAGGAGAGCCGCCATGTTTGTTTCTGACCACCAGAGGGCACACAATAAAGTCAAGCCGGCCTGCCAAGCTCACAGCAAAGTGGGACACCAACCCCCCATCCCACACACACAGCTGTGGCTCTACCCATCCATCTTGTTTTTTACTCTGGTCGTCATAACAACTTTCTGATCACTAGGGAAGACGGGGGAGGGGGTGGGTGGGGGGTAAGAGGATATGGACAGGCAAGGGCAGAGGAAGAGTGTGGGTGTGTGTGATAATACTTCAAGGATGACCTCGCTGAATTTAATTATCAACCACACTTATATTTGGAAGAACTTCATTTCCCCTTCCTGGGAGTTAAATCTTCTTTGAAAGGCTTCAAAAAAAAAAAAGGGAACAACTGTACCAAGACAAGTATCTGGAAGAAGTGACATGATGTTCAATCTGGGTCCCATCTTTATTTATTTATTCATTCAATTACAATAATCTCATTACCTAGAAAGCCCTTCAAATATCCTCTGTGAAATCCTCCACCCAATTAGAGCATTCCATAGCAACATTAATTACAATCTTTCAGCAATTGGAAGCTCTCTCCAAAAGCAAGAAAACACTCGATAACATTGATCTACAGCTGCTGCAGTGCATCCGTGTGTTGCCCCACTGAGAAGCAGAGTAACAGTCAACAATTGAGCACATGAAGCAGGAAACGCTGCTTCTTCACGGAGTGGGGCCCGTACAGAGGCAGATTACTATTCTTAGAAACACCTTCAGCCTAATGTGACGAGATCTTATCAAATGTTGCCCGCACTCAGGCTAGCTTTCTCTTTTTATAGGAGAAATTATATAGGAATGAAATCAATAAAGCAGGTTTAAAAAGTCAACAAATCCCAAGAAAAGACCGAACAGTGAATGTGTAATGTTTTTTTTTGTTTTGTGTATCAAAGCCTGAAATATCTTCTTCCTCTTCCTCAAAAACACATACATGAGCTACACTGTGGCTCTGGGTGACATGTTCCTTTATTACCATGAACACACCCACTGTAATTTACTTCAAATCATGCCAATGTGAGCAAATCCTCACAGCTGACTTCAGTGTCATTGTAATTGATTATCTGGGCCCTAGTTCCTGTCTCTTCTTCCTCACTTCCTGTTTATCCTGCTGCCCCTAATATTCTCTAGAGCACCAAATGTGGATTAATCCGCCACAGAAAACAGTCACGAACAAATACACCATTTCCTTTAAACCGATATATTTTAACTTACGGTTGCGTAATATATTTTATATGAAAAACACCATCACAAGCTAAAATTATCAGGGGAAAAACCATAATGCTTAATCCCTAGGTACCAGGTCTGAAACATTTGCAACCCGAGTGAAAGTAACATGTTTGTAAGAAAAGGTTTAAACTTTATTTACATTTTCCCCAATGTAACCAGTCCATCACCACCATAACCTTTATCCATCTGTATTTTATTTCATTAGTACAAAAGCCCAATGAAACAATCTAAATAAAGAAAGTGGCATGTTTTCACTAGCTAGACATTTTCTAAACAAAATCAAGGCTTGTGTGGAATCACAGCTGGATCAGAATTAAAAAAGGTACGTTTCAAAGAGTCAAATAAAAACAGCCTGTCCAACTTTATCTTCCTGGCATATGAAACAATGGAAAATAAGAAACGATATTTTTCTGAGCCATTTTTTAAATCTTCCGAATCCCTTTCAGTAGAAATCAATTGAGACGGATTAACATGTTGTTTTTGATCTTTGCATGGGATTTGCTGACAATAAGATAAATACAGAATAACAGCAACATTATCCTTGAAAGACAGTAAATCCTCACGTTGCTTGTTGTTATAGTCACATTAAAATGTTGAATTCCAGAAAGTGAGTGTTTTCTGACTGGTGAAAAACGTTAAAAGGACTCCCCCTCACTGTTTTTCACTCTAAGTTGAAACTATGAAACATAGACAGACATATCATGTACCTGTCATGTCACCTGTTGAGCTCCGTAGCAAAGTGCTTCTACTTCATTTTAAAATTCCCCACCCACCCAAAAAACAAAACCTGGGAGTGCACACAGTTGGTATTAAATACACCTAATTGAATAAGAAAACAGGAAGTGTTGCCCATGACAGCATGAGCAGTAGATGGATGTTACGAAGAAGATCAGTGCACCTTTGTGTGGCATTAAAGTCCATGTGGGACAAAGTCTTTCTTTCTGTTCCCGATCAAAAAGTCCCAGGTTAGCTGGGTGTGGGGGACGCAGCCTCCATCCTTCAGGTCACACAAGAAGCCCGCAGGACAGCAGTGCTTGGAGTCAGCGCAGCACTCCGCCTGTCAGGGGAACAAAAGCAGCAGTTAAAACCAGTTTGATTCTTGTTGCATATATATAGTGGCATATGCATCTTTATAAGCTTGTTGCAGAACTTTACTAGAATGGAAACCCCCTGATCCTCCTGGATTAAAGACTTGATATTTCTTCTTAAAAACCGGCTGATTTTCAGGTTCATTTTTGTATTTCGTGTCTCTACTAGGACATGTCTCCATGCTTTAATGTTCAAAAGGCTCTTTATTTTTCTCATACTGCCTGTGCTGCAGCACCTCTTTTCACCCTCCGTCTGAAACCAGAGCCCAGTTTGCTCTGGTTAGCTGGCCAGCTCTGTTGTGATTGGTCAACCGCTTAGAGATGTCCCGCCTCTTAGCCTATCACGTACAATGTGTGGGAGAGAAACTCCCTCTGGAGAAAACCTATACAACACACTACAGTAAAGGGCATAATAGGGCCTCTTTGATCAAGCTTAAGAGATGCACTTCTGCCATAACTTAAATAACTTTGAAATATGTTGAAGGACTTTAACCATGAATAACTTTAATTATTTCCATTTAATAATGTATATTTATAGTCAATAGATAGATTGTTATAATATAAATAATCATATCTGAGTTGCTGCTAGTTTCCCTCCATGCATGTGGAGAACACATTGTTCCCCAACAGTAATATGTAGACTTGGAACAAACAAATGGGACACAGCATGTAACAGGGAAGCTGCAGAGGTTCTCTGGATAATGTAACCCAATGTTCACTGGTCACATTATCCACACTCCAGAGGCTCGAACCAGACGTGGTCGCACTATAAAAACATACGAAAGAAATGTGCAGTGCACATGTGAGTGCAGTGTGAGCGTACCCTGGCTGAGGGGCAGCAGGCCCACGCTGAGTTGGACACTTTACAGCACGTGTCCTGCTTTGGGCAGTGGAACTCCCCCGTGCTGTCACATGGTACGTTTGCGTCGTTCTCTGGGTGTCTGGGCTCGGACTGTACCACTTTGCTCTGAGGGAGGGTGAGGATGAGCACGTTGTGGTTCTTCTTCTCACATGTTCCAGTCTGCATGTTGCAGGAGTAGCCCTGAGGACAGCAGTGCTCCTGGTCCGCACAGCAAACCGCCTGCAGGACACAGAAGAAGAAGAAAGACATTTGATATTTTCGCCATGTTCATAATGCTAGGATTTAGAAAGGCCTGTCACATTTCCAAACTAATTTCTCAAACATAATAAACAAGTGTTTTGGTATTGTTTATTTTTAATTAAAAAGTAAGGTGTAATACCAATCCTGAAAACCAGTCAATGCTGCGTTCAAATGCTCTTCGGATGGTCCCATTTCCAAAATTGTCTTCAAATGTTGGTGTATTCATAAGCTCTATATTAACTCAAGCTGTGAAACATAAGGGTCCCATCTTATTAAAAAATCCCTGAAGAGACACTGACCCTAGTTTTTTCCTTAATGCTATCAAAGTTCTTTTTTTTAATTGACCAAAAGGATTACTGCTTAAACACACAGGACTTAAAGTGGACCTATCATGCTATATTTGAATAATATATTGTAGGGTCATACCTATATAAAACATGTCTGTGAAGTTTTTTTTTCAAAATACCAAACAGATCATGGATTTGAGCCATGCCTCATTTCGCTCTATTTGCTCTTTTCCAGCCCTGTTTTTGCAAGGGCTGATTCTGTGGCAAATGAGCTGCAGCTGACCCCCCCCCCCTCTGCAAAAGAGGGGGGCGAGGCACGAGCGTCATGTTACCATGCTGTTACCATGCCACGGCAAGCTCTCATTCCCCTGATAGGTGGGGCCCATATAGGCGGAGCTCCTCGTTTCTGACGTCAAGAGATATTTCAAATCTGTATCAGCCTGTATCAGATCCGTTGCAGCCCCGTTTTTAGAGATTTGGGTATGGAGGAAAAGAGAGAGGGTTGTGTTTTCTGACACTTGGTGAGTTCCCTGACACACCAGGGACACATATTCATGTATAAAAGACGTACAAATGTGCATTTTGCATGATAGGTCCCCTTTAACTTTGATGCATTTGTTTATGCATTTTTAAACCCAATTGAGCTTCACACAGTGAATGAACTATATGCACTAACATCTAATTAACAGCCAATCATAGCTGTGTTTTTGGGTTATATTGGTTTTACTTTTTTAAACTTTATTTTGACCAACACTGAAATAGGACTCACAATTATGATATGTTTTGTTGTTGTTTATCTGCCTTTTATTAATGATGTTGTGGTCCTTTATTATATTTAGTTTATGGTTGTTGTTGTTTCACTGTCACAGATTCAGGCAGAGACTCAGACTTCAGCATACACCTTATATTTGTTTTATTCTTCACATAAAGATCTAGTAATGTTTAATCACCCTCATGGTATGGTGTATTTGTTTAACTGTAATTAAATGACCTGCAAATGATTAACAGAATAACACACCTTGACGAGCGGGCAGCAGCCCCACTCTCCGGTCTGCAGCTGGCAGCAGGTGGTCCCTGAGGCGCAGCTGCTCTTGTCGTCACATTTAACGTCTGTAACTGGGCTCAGCTCGGTCTGGGAGCTCAGTTTGGTGAACCAGGGAATAGCAACACTGGGTCCCTTGGAGCAGGAGGAGCGGTGCGGCTCACAGGTGTGACCGCCGGGGCAGCAGTGGTTTCCATCCTTACAGCACACCGCCTGAACAACAGAAAACGTTACTGAATACTCAATAAATAAAAGAACACCACCTGATAAGCATTCAATCTGAGGCTGCTTTAAAAGTCTCCTATTATACTATTTCTAGTAGGCTCCATCTTGGGGCCTCTTCTCTTTAACATCTACATGCTACCACTGGCTCAGATAATGAAGAACAACAAAATAAGTTACCATAGCAATGCAGATGACACACAAATTTACTTAACAATTTCACCAGGAGACTATGCTCCAATTCAAACACTGAGTAAGTGCATTGAACAAATCAATGACTGGATGTGTCAGAACTTTCTCCAATTAAACAAAGATAAAACTGAGGTAATGGTTTTTGGAGCCAAGTCAGAACGTATAAAAGTTAGCGCTGAGCTTCAGTCTGCAATGTTCAAAACAACAGATAAAGCCAGAAATCTATGTGTAGTCATGGACTCTGACCTGAGTTTCAACAGTCACATTAAAACTGTTACTAAATCAGCCTACTATCACCTAAAGAATATATCTAGGATTAAAAGACTAATGTCACAGCAGGATTTGGAAAAACTTGTCCATGCTTTTATCTTCAGTAGACTCGACTACTGCAATGGTGTCTTCACAGGTCTCACTAAAAAATCTATTAGAAAGCTGCAGCTAATTCAGAACGCCGCTGCTCGAGTCCTCACTAACACTAAGAAAGTGGATCACATCACTCCAGTTCTGAAGTCTTTACACTGGCTTCCTGTGTGTCAAAGAATAGATTTCAAAATACTGCTGCTGGTTTATAAAGCACTGAATGGTTTAGGCCCAAAATACATTTCTGACCTCCTGCTAAATTATGAACCATCCAGATCTCTCAGGTCTTCAGGGACTGGTCAGCTTTCTGTCCCCAGAGTCAGAACTAAACATGGAGACTCTAAAAAATGCCTTGCCATATATTATAGGTCTCAGATTTATACAAATATGTAAAAAAATATGTCTATGATATGTTTTGCTCAAAATACCATACAGATCACCAATTCTAGCCATCCCTCATACCCCTCTATTTCAGCCCTGTTAGAAAAGGGCAGATTCTGGGTCCTTAGCTTTAAAAAAAAAAAGAGAAAAAAAAGAGGGGCGCGAGCTTATGCAGGAGAATTCTACCTAGAGACTCAGCTAAATGCTGCCGTGATCAAACGCCATCATGTGTAAAACCACATCAAGGATTATTTCTGAAACAGACTTTCTCTCTCGCAGGTTTACCACAAGGTGATTTCCTTTTTATAACCTGCTTCTTACACATACTCTCTCCAGTACAGGTTAGCTCTGAGTGTTAGCAATGCTTGCTAATGTAAACAAAGACCATATTACTTTTAAAACTTTGCGCATTGTCGATAGCAAGCAATATCGGCAGCAAATCTGGATCAGCTCCGTTGTACCCCCGTTTTTAGACATTTGGGTACGGAGGAAAAGAGAGAGGGTTTTGTTTTCTTACACTTTGTGAGCTCCCTTACACACATTTATGTATAAAAGACATAAAAAAGTAGATTTTGCATAATAGGAGACCTTTAATGTTGACGTACCTGCGGCAGAGGGCAGCAGCCCCACTTGTGTGTCCGGTCCATGAAGCAGCAGGTGGTGTCTTTGGGGCAGCTGGTCTGAGCGTCACACATGTTCCTGGCGGACGGAGATGAACCGGAAACGGCCCGGCTGGGCTCCCTCTGCAGGGCGGGGGTCTTCTGCAGCCAGGGCAGGTTGAGGGCGCCAGGCTTATCACACGTCTGCTCTGCCACGTTACATTTGTAGCCTTTAGGGCAGCAGTGGTCATGATCGTTACAGCACACGGCCTTGAAAGAAGAAGAAAGTATACCTTACATCCCTGTAAGCATCACATCTCAGTTCAACAGATGGAAGGGATTTTATGCAACGTGACTTCCAAAAAATGACATAGAAGTAAAAGAATGTCACGCAGATCTGAATAATTTCTGCTTGTATTTTTACAAAAACTCAGCTGTTTTGATAGTCCAGTAATCAATGCCTCTGATTTCATTATCAGCGTCATTTTTTACATGTGATAAAGTTCCAAAAGAGCTGCTGTTTTAAGAATCAATAAATTCTCATTTACCAGTTATGATATAATGTTTTCCAAAATGTTACGTAACACAATTTTCCTGGTTGATTTCATTATAATAAAATGTGTATTTAAAAAGCTACTTTATGTCACTTTTCCCACTCATCAATCAGAGGCATGAATGCAGCATGATTTCCAGCTTAGATGAACAGAATGGGAAAAAAAACTGAAAGAATACCTGGGTAAGTAGAAGTACCTCAAAAACGTACCCAAGTACAGTACTTAAGTAAAAGTATTTAGGAGCCTTCCACCACTTCTTTTTCATTTGTTGGTATTGTGTTGTTGTGTTGGCTCCTGTGGGTGACTTTGTTAAATTCCTACCTTGAGACTTCATCATTAAGTATTTAAATTATTAAGCTGTGTATTTGAGGTCTAGAAGCCAGTAACAACCCCCTTCCATATTATACCGAAGAACAAACAAACCCTCAGAGTAAGTACTGACCTGCCCCCCCCCCCCCACTAAGCGCTGACAGTGTGAAGAAGGAGACACTGACCTGAGGTAAGGGGCAGCAGGCCCACTGCCCGGGGTAGTTCTTACAGCAGGTGGTGCCTCCTGGACACATGGTCTGCTTGTCACATTTCTCCGCCTCCACCTCAGAGGTCAGAGCCGGGACCCTCTCCACCCAGCGGAGGGGGGGTGCGGCAGGGTCGTCGCAGGTTTCAGCCTCCAGGTTGCAGACTGTGCCGTGAGGGCAGCAGTGGAGGTGGTCCTCACAGCACGTGGCCTGGCAGGAACACAGGATACACACCCAGTGAGTGTGTGTGAGGGCATACTGTTTTTAGATCATCATAAAGCCTTGCGAAATACCTTAACGTTTGAAAACCTGTGATTGTTGTTAATGTTTTATAGTGAAATATATGGCACTAAAGGTTTGGAGAGCACATCATCTTTACTTAAGCAAGATAAGGATTTTTTATTCTTTTTATTTACAGATCAAAAAATATGTTGTGCTTTGATCTATTTTCACTATATTTAGGTTTAGTCTAAAAAGTTTAAGATTGACATTTGTGATTCTACTGGGAGTTGGAATCCAAAAACTGGTACCATTTATGGTAGAATATGTTGTCAAGTAGTAGGAGCCGTGTTAGTAGGGGATTGTGTGATCCCCCAGAAGAATACGGGTAAAAAAACATAAGAAAAAAAGGAATATAGATGATAACATTTCACACATAAAAAATATATATTCACTCAGTTGCCAGTTTATAAGTCACACCTGACTTAAACGTATCTATCATACAAGAATCCTGCAAAAAAATAAATTCACAACATCACACACTAAAGCTTCCAAAACTTAAAAGAGTTAAAATAACCTTGATGGAGGAGGATGTATTACAGGTGAAGCTTTTGAATAAACTAGCATCTGAATGTTAATACATGTAATAAAAACTATGAATATGTTGCATGTTGTAATTATGTCGCAGTAAGGAAAATCTCCATAATAACCAGAGTCCATTTGTACCTCCGGCAGCGGGCAGCAGGCCCAGCCTCCAGCCTCCTTCTTGCAGCAGGTGGATTTTCCAGGACATGATGTTGACTCGTCACATTTGCTGTTGTCGCTCACTAAGGGGAAGACGGGCAGTTTGCTGAGCCAGGGCATCAGGGTGCCGCCCGACGGGTCGTCACACGTGGAGGCTGCCAGGTTACAGACGGTGCCGTGGGGACAGCAGTGCAGGTGGTCCTCACAGCACGTGGCCTGCAGGGAGGAGAAACAAACAGAACACAATAGCATTTAAAGATAAAGTCAAACAACTGATACGTTATACGATATAATTCACGAACCCAGAATATAAATAAAACTGTCAAATTGACTCAGAAGCAAACTTAAATGCAACCCACAGCAAAATGTACAACAACAATTTATATAAAATAAAGAATAATTAAAGTAGCCTAAATATTAACCCCAAAAAAACTCAGGTATTATGTCTGTCTACCTATAATATATGGATCTTTCTTTTTTTAATGCATTGTAAAATTGTAATCCTGCTAGTATTCTTTAATTTAAATCAATGTTTTTTTATTAATGTAATTGTACAAAAATGTATACGAATACAGTTACCTTATAAATTATGCTTTTAAAGGTCCCATGTCACGGCCATTTCTACTGATCATAATTCCATTGTTGAGGTCTACTAAAATAGATTTAAATTGTGCAATTTTCCAAACTCACATTGGTTTCTCATACAGCATCTCTGTATAGTATGTGTATTCACTCTGTCCTACACGGCTTGTTGGAGCTCCTGCCCCCCCCCTCCCTCTGAGCCCAGTGGCCATCTGCGAGACACAGCGAAACCCAGCCCAAAACCAGCCCGAACACATACACACACCCGCAGCCTGGCTGGGAGTTTGTGTGTGTGCTCACACACCGACTCACAGCCTCGCCGCGTCCCGCCGTCTCAGGGAGGAGAAATCGGCGGAGCTGCAACTGAGAAAAGATTGAGTGTGTGTGAGGAAGTTCACGGACTTAACCTAACGGCTCCGCGGACGTAACGTAACGGCTCCACGGATAGGTCCATTTGGACCAATGGGTGCATTTGGGTCGTCGTTACGTCACTTAGTACCAGGAAGAAAAAGAGAAATCTCCAACGAGGTGTTTTGGGGCAGCATAGACAGGTCTTTTCTGTGTTAAAGTTTTGGGTGTACTTTGAGGGTTTGTGACTCTGCAGACCGTTTACATGCAGAAAAACCTTCATAACACACAAGGGGACGGGTAATAACCAGAAAAGCATGACATGGGACCTTTAAGTGCTATCCTCATGAGTCGTTGTGCTTTTGAATCCTGTGTAAAAATCTAATAATTGGCGTCTTTGAAGGAAAACTGTCAACTTCTTCCTCCTAGTTGAACTATACTTCTGGACAATAATGTGCTAGAACTCCCCACAAAGTCTGAATATAAGCGGAATGACTTGATATTTCTACACGAGAATGTTGCTACAATACAATTTTACTCAGCCGAGATTAGGGGAAAAGGCTTTTTTTTAATACCGGATCTCTGGAATTGAGTTGTGTGTCGAGTAATTCAGTGCAGCTGGACAGAAAGCCGAACACAGTCAGTGTGTGTGACTCACACACATCAGTATGTGGGTACCTTAGGTAACGGACAACAGGCCCATCCTCCCTCTGACGATTTGCAGCAGGTGGACCCCTCAGCGCAGGCCACAGAGCTGTTGCAGGGAACAGCACCGACTGGAACACAAACATCCTTATCAGTGCACACGCAGGAAAAGATTATCTAAAAAGAGGAGCATTGCATTCCGATGACACCATCGTTGGACTCATGCTGGAACGATGTTTTTAAAGAACGAATCAAATCTATGCAGCAAAATAGACAGAGATATCATCTTTTAATTCGACGCATTCTTCTTACTTTTCGACACCTGCTTCCTACATTGCATGTTTTAATTAATTGCAGTCTTGCAGATAAATGTCTGCAGTTAGATGAACAAAACAATGTGTCTCTTGATAACATGTGTATGGATACCTGGAGGGTTTTTTTGTGGATACTTTTAAGATAAAATAAAAATAAATACTCCACACATTTTTCTTAGGAATTGTTAGCCTTTGTAGACATGTACAACAATCAATACAACACACTACAGGAAAGGAAATACTTAAGATCAAGAAGGTCTCGGTGTGTGGAAAGCAAGTTCTGCTTTAAGAAGGATTTCCTCTCTTTATGAAAACCGTCCAGACCAGACAGATGATCAATACGCTAATCTCAAACTAGCGATTCAAAAATATCCAACCCAGTCCCAGTCGTAACTGCTCACCGTCATTAGGTACAGCAGCAATCTTCTTCAGCATGGGAACGCTCGTTTCACCAGACTGGCAGACCCCATGCTCCAGGTCACATATTGTGTTGCTAGGGCAACAGTGGAGATGATCGCTGCAGCAACTCGCCTGCACGTGATTTAGGCATCAGACACAGAGTCAGTGAGAAAATCACAGTATGTTTAACTAGAAAAATACTTTTTCTTGTTTAGCTAAGGAGAGCTGTGACGAGATGTGACGAGATGTGATGTGATGAGATGTGATGTGATGAGAGGTGATGAGATGTGATGAGATGTGATGTGATGAGATGTGATGTGATGTGATGTGATGAGAGGTGATGAGATGTGATGTGATGTGATGTGATGAGATGTGATGAGATGTGATGTGATGAGATGTGATGTGATGTGATGTGATGAGATGAGATGTGATGAGATGTGATGAGATGTGATGTGATGAGATGTGATGAGATGTGATGTGATGTGATGTGATGAGATGAGATGTGATGAGATGTGATGTGATGTGATGTGATGAGATGTGATGAGATGTGATGTGATGAGATGTGATGTGATGTGATGTGATGTGATGAGATGTGATGAGATGTGATGAGATGTGATGTGATGTGATGAGATGTGATGTGATGAGATGTGACGAGATGTGATGAGATGGCAATCTCTGGAATTAAACAGTAAAACATTCATTTTTGCTGCTGCAAACAAAGATGATGTCGGCTGAGCAGTGTGTAGGTGCTTTTACATGTGTTGTAAATGCTACTAATCTTATCTACTTGTGCATCATACATACTTTTTTGTTATTCAAGTATCATGTATTGAAAATGTATGATGTCTTATCCTGCCTTTTTTTAAACAATTGTCACTTCATCAGCAACACTTCATCTTACATAAATAAGCTGCAGTGGCATTCTCCAAAGTCCTTACTAAACTGTGTGTATGTACACAACAATGACAAATGTTTATGTATACAGTAATTACCAAGAGCTGAAACATACAGTAAAGCACACCTAATACAAATCAAAATAAATCTTTACAAAAGCATATTTACAGCTGCAACTGACACATTTTCTTGTTTAACAGTCTAATATTTGGTCACTGAAATATCAAAAATAGTGTAAAATACCATGGGAAAATGTATACTAAAATGAAACAGCAAACCTCACATTTGAGAAGCTGAATATTTGGCATGACTTAATCAAACAACTGAACTTTTGGCGATTCCTTTCTATCGAGCAACTAATCAATTTATCAACAAATCGTCATATATATCTTCGACAGACTAATAAGTACCTGTGGGTAGGGGCAGCAGCCGTAGTCTCCGGAGGGAAGCTGGCAACACGTATAACTTTCTGGGCAGCTGCTTTTTCCACCAGGACATGTCACTGCATCGGCCACAGGAGCTACACACATAAAGAAAGAAACAGCGTATATCAGCATACATAAAGACCCTTTCCAGCCTATCCAGACAATGTGTTAGAGCGCTAGCCAATAGAAGCATACGTGTTACATAGTGATGTATAAAAGCAATGTTACAGAAGTAAAACACAAGGAGTCCAATGTAGGTGTTTCAGGTATGTGGCAGAGAAACTCTCTCTGAAGGGAAGTCTTGGATTTGTACCTTTGCAGACCATTTACATACACAAAAACCTAAATAGCACACTACAGGAAAGGGAAACCCCCAACAGCATAATAGGGCCCCTTTGAAAATGTAAGTATTGGTTGTCACTCAGTAATGAACTTATGCTGATTCAGTCAACAATTCAAGCCCAAAAAAACATAATAGGAACCCCTTTAAAAATCTATTTTTCACATTGGATTTTCAGTAGAACCCACGCCCCTCTACATGAGGGACTGCCCACCTGGATTATTCTTCCTCCTCCTGGCGGGCAGTTTCTCCAGCATGGGGAAGGACTCCAGTGAGGAAGACTGACACTTTGAGTGAGCAATATCACACTTTGTGTTCTCAGGGCAACAGTGACGTTTATCCTCACAACACACCGCCTGCAGAAGAGGAGAAAATACATTCCGAAAGCCATGAACACTAACTGAATTCAAAACGGAATATAATAAAGCAAATATATATTTTCGGGTCATTTTACTGGATTTTGTATGTTTATTTTTTACCATGAACAAAATAAGATAAAAATATAAAATAAAACGTTTTGAAGATTTGGGACATTTTGTAGTTCTGCAAATATCTTCAAACATTTCTTTATTATGTCTGTACTGGAAATAATGTAACTAACTGTATATGCCTACGAATGGGTTCAAAACTTTAACATAACTTAGAAATGTAGTCTTGGATAATATAGCATTTTCTTATGCAGCTAGAAGAGCAGCAGGCAGAATCTAACACTGACTATCAGACCATGTGATATGTTACTTGGTGCAGGGTTAGTGCTGAGCAAGCAGTTTGAGGCGACAGTGTTTGTGAGCTGGTGTATATCACCTTAGCTAACGGACAGCAGCCCCAGGAGTCGTCGGTAAGCTGGCAGCACGTGGTGTCATCGGGACATTCAGACACCTCGTCCGGACAAGTGATGGCTTTCACCCCCTCCTCGATCTGCGACATCACACATTACAGCCCATGCATACCAATGAATGAAAAAAACAAAACAGCACATCAATGGCAGGACTGCAAATGTATATACTAGCATTCCTTCTCTTATTAACAAATGGAGTGCAAATTAAACTGATCTTATTGTGTGTAAAAAGTGTCATTTAACCTACATTTATCAAAAAGATATGTATGAAAGTCTAAAGGAGGAAGTCTAGAAAACAATCAAAGGCTAACAGAATGTTATGCTCCATTGATTGTAGTGCAAAGGTTGATTAACAACTCAAACTTGCTACAAAATAACGTTTTGTTCAAATACCTTTGTTACAGCTACCCGAGGGACGAGTAGGGCCGGTTTGGCAGGAAGTCGTCTCATCCAGGGCAGAGAAACTGTCTTATTAACACACTTGGAATGAACCAGATCACAAACAGTCGCCTCAAAGCAGCAGTGGAGGTGGTCTGAACAACACTCAGCCTGCAGGCCGAATCAAAACAGAGATGGGGAAACATGATTAAGGTTTAATGAAACACACAGCAGCAGAGAATGACGTGGACCAAGAGTTCACCTTGTACACACCTTCAATTCTTTAAAAGCTTAATATAGACTCTGAAAAACCAACCCGAGTCTAGTCTAAAGAGTCTAGAGAGGCTTCTCAATTCTTACATTTCCCCTCCTCGACTCCTATCCTCGAGACTTAGTCCCGCCCACAGGAGATGCGAGCGGAGGACTGAGGAGGGGAACCGAGGAGAGAGGAGTGGATGCAGCAGGCGGTTAGAGAAATGAGAACTCCTCTCCTCTGAGCGGTCATTTTAAAGAGACGTCCATTAATGATGACAGGAGGCACAGCAGCCCTCTGTCTGATGGACAGATGTGTTCATGATGACTTCTATATTTACTTTGATTCATTGACAGTGCGGTATAATGAGACAATAACAGGCTACAGATGCGGACACACACACATATACACACACATATATTTATATAAATATATACAATTTCAGAATCAAACAAGTATGAGAGCACTCTCATAATAACGTAACACAATCAGAGACTGGATATATCCCCCCCCTCTCTCTGGTCGCTGAAATGGGGAATTGAAATTACGGGCCAAAAGTTGTATTTATAAGTATTAAAAGTAAGCATCGGACACCAAACCAACTGAGACACACACACACTGTACCACACACACCTAGCTCCTAAAGCATAATCAGGCTACAGCCGTTGTGTATTTTATTATGTGAAGCACTAAATGGTCTTAGAAAAAGATCGACTCTTTGTTTGTAGATATCTACTAAACTACAGCAAATAAAGAGAGTAGGCCTGTTATACTGAGTGATATATATTATACACACTGCTCTGCTTTCTGCATGGACCTCACAGCTGTTCTCTCTGGAAACATCAAGACGCGATGAAAGCAGTTACTAAAATAATATCCAGGGGATGCATGCAGAGCTGTCATTGGCTGAGATAAGTCCGGCCGTGCGTCACGCCTCCACCGTTCCCGGAAATGCATCCGCGGAGGAGCCGTGGAGGAACCATCAGTGTCTCCTCGGTTAGAGGATGTGCATTTAGAGAAATGAGATGTCCTTCAACATGGCGCGCTGAAATCCATTTCCGGGTCACTACCGGAGGACCGAGGAGTCGAGGAGGGGACATTTAAGAATTGAGAAGCCTCTTAGGTCACAGTATATCTGGAAGAGGTGGTTTGAATTTCAATTGCCCAAATATCATAACATTCAGATTCTAAAAGTAGATTTGCTTCCATTCTGGGAAGTGAAAACAGGAAATACTGTAAGCATTAGTATGTAATTTCTCACTATCTTCTTTTGCATGTAGTGATTCAAATGGAGTGTTCTAAAAATATAATTACCATTAATAACTTTTCTGTGTTTTATATCATTTTAAAGTGAATATATTAGGGTTTTGGACAAAAAAAGGACATTTAAATCTGTAAAGCTGTTAAATTACTTTGATGGATATTTTCTTAGTATTTTACGAAATCTTTAGACAATACGAATCAGTTATCATTAGTTTCGGCCACACAAATATCACAATATTGTACCTGTTCAAATGGCAAAAAACGTACTTACATTGTTTGACTGTATCAGCAATAAGTCCATTACTGAGTGACCACCAATACTTACATTTGGGAAAGGAGCCCTATTATGCTCTTTCCTGTAGTGTGTTATATAGTTTTTGTGCATGTAAATGGTCTGCAAACACTAAAATCCCAGCATTCCTTCCAGAGGGAGTTTCTCTCCAACACACTCCCCCCCTCCCCCCCTCCATTGGACTCCTTTGTTTACTTCTGTGCCATAATGACATAAAAATGCAGGACTCGCGCTTATATTGGCTCGCGTTTCAAAACATTGCACGTAATAGGCTAAGGGGCGGGACATCTCTAAGAGGTTGGCTTTAATAGCTCAACCTGTGTGACTGAAAAGTAACTCACGTGTGGTAGTGCACAGCACCCGTATCCGCCCACAGCGTTCATGCAGCAGGTGTCGTTGTCCTCACACATGCCTCCATCCGGACAGACCAGGGCTGAGCTCAGGCCCAGCAGAGCCAGGACCAGGATCCTGAGCTGCAGCATCTAAACACAAACAGGAGAGGAAAGGGCCGTTATACATGCCACTATAGATCATGAACTATTGTCAACAACGTCTATTTCATCTTCAGTTTCTGTGTTTTTTATATTGTTTTGTGAGAAACTTAAACTTTGTGAAGAAGGATAAGAAAGATAGAATTATGTGTTAGAGCTCAGCAGGAATTCTTACTCATTAAAAATGTAATCTAATGAACATGTCCTTTTAATTTTTATGTAAAGCACTCATATCTTAATGAAATGTGTTCTTCCCTTTTGTAGATTTTAGAGATGCAATTAATGATTATTTTCTTCATTGAGGTGAAAAATACATTGTTTTATTTTAAAAGCCAGAAATCAGAGAAGGTTTAGCATTTTTTTGCTGTAAAAATGTATGAAACAATGAATTGATTATCCAAACAGCTGCTGGTTTATTTTTTCTTGATTGAATAATCAATAAATTGACCAATCGCTGCAGCTGTTGTATGTTTATCGAGTCAGCACATTGTGTTTAAAACGAGTCAATGAGTCACCATTTCTGATAAGCAGAATCTTGTGCAATTCGAGAAGACTAAATGATTATTTTGCATTATAGAAATGTAAGCTGCTTAAGATTCATGAAAACAGATCATTATTTTTAACTGGATTGTTAAATCTCATCAGCAAAAACTGCACACATGTTGAGTTATCTGTTTAAATACAGCTGTAGAAATGTAGCAGCATCTGATTGAAACACACCTTAAAAAGAACGAAAGTGAAACACCTTTACTGTGTCATGAGCTTAATCAGGTATGTGAACCAGTTGGGCAATGACTTAAGGTTTTTTAAGGATGAAATAACCTGCTGTTTATATGCTTGGTTATTGTTATCTTTTACTTTTGCACAAAAGCAAAAGAATCAACAATAAAACAGTAACAAAATATAAACATTTAAAGTTAAGCATGTGTAGAATCAGGGTAATGTAGTTTATAATATGCAATAATAAATATTGATTAATTATTGATAACATCACTTCATTCATTAATTGAAGTGATTTTACAACTTTATATTACTGCTAGCTTGGATATTTATGTTAAGAATGAATTAAAGGTGGGGTATGTAATTTTGGAGAAACCAGCTCGAGTGCGCTAGAATTTAAAACTACGCAGCCGAAAAAAATCTGCCTCTTCCTTCAGCTATTATTTTATCATGGCTAACGATTTATACAAATATGTAAAAAAATATGTCTATGATGTGTTTTGCTCAAAATACCATACAGATCACCGATTCTAGCCATCCCTCATACCCCTGTATACCCCTCCTCCAACACACACGAACACACACATGACCAATGAGGGCACGAGATAAATGTGTGCACAGATGGAAGGCTGACAGGCAGGTAGGCCATCCAGTTATTTTAGTCGTGCTTTTTACAGGACCACGGCTTCCACAGATGACATTTTTGTATGTATTTATTGTCAAAGCATGTAATGTATTCATTGCTATCGGGATGTTAAGAGCATTCCATGGAATATAACAAGTGTTTTGAAATAAATGACATACCACACCTTTAAGTCTCATCTTTACCGTTGAAAATAATACACCAAATGATTTTTGTCAATTATATTTTGCATTGCTGATTTGACTCTTTACAGTTACTAAAGCTATAAGATAAATGTAAATGTAGTAGAGTACACGTTATAAAGGTAGTAGAGAGTGGGAAATGCTCAAGTAAATAATAATGTATTTAGTTACTGTCCACCACTTTATCTAATATATAATTATTATAAATATAGTAGTGAGAGTACTTTACCATTTTAGCAGAGGACTGAAAGACAGGCAGAATGAGTTCAGTATTTAAAAAACAGCACTATGCAGCATACTCCTCTTACAACCTGTAAAACAACCAAAAAACACAATTATTCACCATCATTCTGCGTTAAGATACTCAACAGTATATATACAAAATAGAGCTTAACATATAACTACTTGACACCAGAAATATCTCGCTATCGGTAACAGTTTAACGAGCTAACATCAGATAAGTAGCTAGAAAAATAGAGCCTATGATAAAAACAAGTTAGCTTAGCATGCTAGGTGGCTAACATGATTAAAGCTAGCCGGTGAATGACTTGGAGCGGTTAACAGACAGCGGTAGAGTGTTTGCCTTACCTGGTAGGTTCAGAGCAAAGAGTCACCTCGTTAATAAATGTCGTATGCATAGGCTGCACAAACATTCAGAGTACAAAGGACAGACGAGCTGTGTTTGATTCACAATTCATTAATCACATGACACTCACACGTGACTGTGCAGTTTTGTGTTAAAGGGACACTGCACTTTACACCACCTTTAAATCCCCTGGAATACGTGGTTTTATTTATTTGTTTGCACATATACAAGTATAACAAACAGTTGTAATTTAAGAAGAAGTTTGAACATCATACAGTAGAGGTTACAAAAAACAGAGTCTAAGAATACTCTTTTACAAGTAAAAGTCCTACATTCAAAATGTTACTCAAGTAAAAGTAAAAAAGTATTAGCATCAAAATATACTTAAAGTACCAAACGTAATAGTACTAATTTGGCAGATCCATTTCAGAATAATATAATATGTTTTGATTATAATGATTGATCATGAAAGTGTTACCAAAGCTGGTAAAGGTGCAGCTAGTTTGAATGACTTTGTATACTGCAGGGTAGCTGCACCCAATATACAAGCTGTTAATAAACTTTTCAATCAATCAATCAGCTTGTGAATTTACTCCAGGTGGAACTAAAGTCTGATATAAGACTTGATTATATTTCACATCAGTCATCCAAATCTGCAAAGTAACTATACGTATTAAATACATTTAATGGAATAAAAGTACACAATTTACCTCTTAATTGTAGTGGAGTGGAAGTACAAAGCAGCATAAAATGGTATCTCAAAATTGTACTTAAGTACATTAATTGAGTAAATGTACTTAGATACTTCCCACCTCTGCTAATCAGAATCAGAATACCTTTATTAGTCCCACAGAGGGGACATGTGCATAGTTACAGCAGGAAAGAGCCACAGACAGCTTAATGTTACATATGTTAAAAAAAAGTACTAAGTTATGATATAATAAAAAATATAATGTAAAAAAAAATACTTTTCAAAATACAAATCCTGTAACAGTTCTTAGGATTTAGCAGCCAGGTATATATTACACAGTTATTAATGGCATATGTATATAATAATGTATATATTTCACATATAGCACATCGTTTGATGGTATTTAACAGCAGCAAGTTACACAGTTTACAAAATACAAAATGCAAATACACACCTTGTAACGGTTCTAAGGATTTAGCAGCCAGGTATAAATTAGTTATTAACGGCATATATATATTGCACATATAGCACATATTGCACATAAAGCAGTTATACATAAAATGCAAGACATATATAATCAACACAATATGTTTTGTTTGTAAATTGAGCTTTGGTCTGTTGTTTAATAATCTATGATATGTAGCTCTTTTCCAAAGAGATGGACCTCTGCATGTCAACGAATAGCCTGATCCTAAAGGGGAAATAGCGGATATGGGAGGAAAAAGACTTGTGCATCTTGTCTTTCTCTTTTTTAATGTATAACTTTATGAGCATCACATGTAAAGGTAATGGTATAAAGTAACCCTGTCTTCATTTACTCAATCACTGTACATAAGCACCGTATTAAGGGTAATACATCCTTTTTTTTATCTTAATAACTTTTTTCCAGATTCAAATCAATCATGATGTTATTCTATCAAACTTGGCTCATCCCCAGGGGCAATTCACAAGCAATCCAGAGTTGATGTAACACATGTAATACTGCTTGCTTAGTCATTTTGTGTTTAATTGCTTCTAGTTTCAATTTGAATTTATATTAATTTGAATTTTCTATTGATTTCAATAAATCAATTGTGTTATGATTTTTTATAAAGCACTGTGAATTGCCTTGTTGAGATTTACTTTAGCCATACTCCTATTCAATATCTCTTAGCCTTTGACCTATTGCTGATTCAAATGTTTGTTTAGTATTTACTTTGTCCTTATTTGTCTATCCTTACATAGATTTGTTGTTTCGCGCTTTCCTTATGCTTCAATGTTTCAACACGAAACTTAAGTATTTCTAAAATAAAATAAAATCACACACGCTGACTGACCGTGGGAACACATTTATTTTTAATTTTGTCTCATGTACAGAAATAACCAATTTACAGTTTACAAACAACTGACCAGGTTTATGAAGCATGTGATTCACTGCACAAGATGGAGGCCTACAGTCCAATCCTCCTCACCCTCATGTGTATGTGTAATATCAAAAACCCAACTAAATGATTCAATACAGGTTTAATGTGGAATCAGCCTAAAACACAAGGTCACAAAAAACCACTGAAAAATCATAATCTGTCATAAAAAAAGACAAGAAAGGGAAGCAACAATTGCACAACTCATAATAAAAAATCCACAGCTGGTCCCAAAAAAGCATTTACAGCAGTGGACACGACAATTCAGTAGGAATCATTTCATGGCTTCATGGTTATTCTTCAGACTTTGAATTACATCACATTTTCAGTTTGGCTACTGACACAGGCTTATGAACAGCAAGCAAATGTGGGGAAAGGACCAACAAGTCAGCGTGACCTTTATACAGCCTTTACTTCATAATCAAACTCTAAAACAAAACAAAAAACATCTTCAAGTTTTCTAAACTGGTGAGCTTTTATGTGCTAGATTATATAATTAAGTTCACAGTTGTTGATGCTTCGTAGGCAGTGGTGATGCTAGAATTAGCGGGCGCGTGTTGTCAGTATGTTGTAAACATTTACGACCGGAAGTGAATTTTTGTTAGAACTGGATCGAGGGAAAAGTCAGTGTTTCTTCATATAACAGAGTTCATTTTTGGCAACATGATTCAATGCATCAGTGCATCATATTTCTGTGCCAAACATCCTGGATGGATATCCGAAAAAATGTTGAATTAAAAACACCCTATTCTACATGTTACATGCACATCGTATACACATAAAATCTCATATAGTTCATCATACCATTTACAAGTTCGGTGAAAAAGAGGATAGATACAAGAAATTAAGATAGTAAAAGGACGTAGTAGCCGCAAGAAAAGTTGTTATTTTTGGCCGGCGTGCTCCCCAGAGTGACGCGTGTTGTTGTTACCACAATGCAGTGTGCTTATTAGTGCAGTAGTGACTGCTAACTGCATTTTGAAACGGGACCTGCATGCCTATCACTCGATCCTATGTGAAAGAAGGCACTTACAGGAGAGAAGTGGTACAGGCCCTGTCCGAAAACTACCCCTGTAGATCTTAGTAGAATATTAAATAGGTAAGACTTCAAGTAAAGTGGTGTTTATGCTGTTTAGAACACACACTTCTTGGCAAATAGGGGTCTACGCAGGAGCCCGACGAACACTGGCTTTTGGTGCCTTCTGTTTATTTCATACATTCATATGCATGCAACCTTTCTGAGCCAAATGCTCTTTAAAATGTCTGGGAATCTATTTACACAGCAGAAATCGCTAAGAAGTCTCTGTTGATCTAAGAGAAGAAAGTCAGAAAGTCCAAATGTTGGCAATAAATCAACGAGAGAGGGTGACATGAAGACTCAAACATGATGCTCAACATTTCAAATCATTATTATCTGAAGAAGTCATTTGTAGATATGAACACAACACAGGAGGAAGAGGAAATCTTCCCTGAAGGAGCAAAATGCAAGTCGCACTTTGGTCTTTAGAGATAATATTATCCACACAGAGGGGCTTAAGAAAAATGTCAGTACAACTCATTGATTCCCTACATATTCAAAAATGAAGACGATGTTTCTTTTAAAGAAAAGTTATTGTAGTTACAGTTTAGGGCAGGGGGAAGTTAGGGAAACACAGCACACATCCTCCACCTCCAATATGAGCCTTTGTGTAGTAAAGGTAATCTAATTCACCCATCAATACCATAAAAAGGTCATCCACTTCCTAATACTTTCAGTCAATCATTTATCCAATAATTAGTAAGTGCTTCTTTCTTATATTTTGCTCTACAAAATGGCTATTTCCACAATCAGTATATGCAATGGCTCAGACGACGGTTCAGTAATGTGATAGGTAACATATGTCACAATAAACTGGATACGTTTCAGTATACGATTGATTATCTCAATGGAAACCAGTGAGATTAACTGATAGTGAGATTACGAGAGCAATCGGAAAGCACTCACCAGAAATACAAACAACAACCTTTAAATCAGGGGTGGGGAACCTTTTTCCTCTAAAGGGCCATTTCAATTTTTTCAACATCCTCCGAGGGCCGTACAAATTATTGACCTCTGCTTAAAAATACTAAAATCACAGCCCATTAATTTCGCCTTTCTTTCATTCTGTGCAAAGAAAAAGCAACCTCTTAATCCAGATATCTTACCATGACTCGCGCATGCATGCACGTGCACGGTTGTGGCATGACCACCCAAACAGAAAGATATGGACACAAGATGTGCGCACATTTATTTTGTTTCCTATCCATGTGGACATGATTTAAGTGGAGGGGGACCTAACCTCCTCTAGGGGGGTCCGGGGGCATGTTCCCCCGGGAAGATCTTTTTTCTTTTTTTTTTTAAATGTTGAAGTTAAAAGCATCAATCTGGTGCACTTTGAGAGCAACATGAGGAGATCTATGGAAACATCTCTCAACACCCATATGAAACAGAACTGTAAACAGAATTATTTTTCTTTATGGATATTTGACAAATCACTCCCCTTTCAAACTGTATTCTTGTTTATTAATAACAACTTTTTTTTTACTGTCATATAGTATTTTATGCCTGTTTACTTTATTCTCTTATTTTTTATAACTATAATGATCATATAAAGATTTGCCTCACTGGTTGTAGAAGCTTCTTATATTCGTTAGCATAGCTAGCTAACCAGATGCTAATAACAACAAAGTTATTGACTGTATGATCAGTATGACAGATGAACAGATTGCCACTGGGCTTTCAACTAAAGACACAGCCACGCAAAAACTGCGGCATGAGTACGGCTCCTTATCGGTACTGCAATTTCTGAAGTGCCGGAGCGACGTTCTGGTGCTCTCCGTCAGCAATCAGCATGTGTCAGACGCATAGGTCACAAGGATCCGTCTTGTGTAAAACTCTCGCGAGAGTTTGCAAGTCACGTGGCTGAATGTTTACGTTTGGCAGGCAGCCTTTCAGTTACGATCGTTAACATCAGTGAGCCACAGCAAATGATGGTGAGAAGCTAAACTATCTATTAATTATGTCAATGACAGGGAGTATGAT